CCCTCCCCCCCCCCCGAGCGGGGTTTGGGGACAGGAGGGACGTGCCCTGCCCCAGTGGCAGGAGCGTGGCTGAGGACTTCATTGCGGCCGGCCGGGGCCTCTGCAGGCTGACCCCGAGGGAGCAGAGCTGAGCGGGGGGAGAGGGGTTTCTGGGGGCTGGCTCCAGATTTTGGCTGCTCCTGGTTGAGATTTGCCAGGGATTTGACCAGAGCAAAGCGTCCGGTCCCGGGAAACGTTTGCAAGGTGCTGAGGCTGATGCTGCCCCTGCGAAGGGGCTCCCAGAGCACGGCTCTACCCAGGGAGATGGCGAAAAGACAGGTCCGTGGCTCCTGGGAGCTTCACAGGGGTTCACCCAGGCGGTGTCCAGCAAGGAAAGATGGCGATTAGCGGCGCAAAGCACCCCCAGCACCAGGATGGGACCCAGCGCCGCAGCAGGCAAGGTCCCCCCAGCCCCGAACGTGGGCATCGGATGCTGGCAGGGGCAGAGCCGCAGCCGTGCTCCCATCCTGGTCCCTCGTGGTTCCCCACACCTTCCCCATCCCACCTGGCCTCCGCCAACCCCAGCAGCCACAGCCGCCTCACGGCTGTGAGGACGGAAAGCGGTGGCCCTGGGGCACCTGCCTTTACGTGGGGGTACGTGGAAGCACGCCCCAGCCCCGGATGAGGAGCACCGGCCGCCCCGATAAAGCCTGCCCGGGCGCCCGGTTGGTGGCACGGCTCTGCCCCGGGCAGCCTGCGGGCACCTCCAGCCCCAGGTCTGCACAGGCGCCAGGGGTGTTTGCACGGCCGCAGGGTCAAGGGCATCATCAGGGTGCGGGGCAAGGGGGTGGCTCTGCCTGCGGGGTGAGGCTGGCACCCAGGGTGACATCCCGCCTGCCCACCCACCGGTGTCCATGCCCAGGGACGTGGTGGCAGCTGAGCCAGCCCTTCCCAGAGAGACGCGGCACAAGGAGGCTTCTCTACGGCTTTATTGTGCTCGGTGGCCATAACGGGAGGGGACGGGAGTGCTGGGCAAGGGTCAGCCCTGCCAGCCACCAAGCTGGGGACGCCAGGACAGCGGGTCACTCTGCCTGTCCCCGTCCCCAGCACGGAGGCACGCTCAGGACAGCGGGGACAGCCCCACCATGTTTTTGGCCCTGTTGAAGATCACGTAGTACTCGTGGATGAAGATGTCCCCCAGGATCCAGAGCTCGCCCGACTCGGTGGGGACGTTCATGCCTTCGAAGCCGAGGCTGCAGAACCCGTTGCTCTGCAGCCAAGGACGTGGTGGATGGTGGTTACCAGCTGCCGGACCCCCCCAAACCCCCCCCAGGTCCCCTCCCCGGCGGGATGCTCACCTCCATCACGTAGGCGCTGGGCGACACGGGGAAGGCTTTGCCGTTGATGTGGAAGACGACGTCGGGCAGCGTGCTTACGGACTTGCAGTTGATCTGGGGGGGGGGACATGGGGGCCGAGGGG